TTCGAATTCATCAGCCGCTTCTTGGAAACCCTGTGGGGCCTTTCTACTCTGTCCTATAGGGTCACTATGAGTCAGAATCAACTCAACAGCAACAGTTTTTTTTTTTTTTTTTTTAAGTTTCCTTCAAAGAAATTCCCCTTCTCAGAAACAGGCTGTGCTTCTTTACAGCAAGTAGAACCCTAGATGCTCCAAATGACTATCTTCATTAATTTGTTAATTTTTGTAAAAAGCCACTCACACCACCCTGAAGGTCAGCTGCTCCCTGTCACTTCGTGTTCCCGGTGGCTGTGTGCAGACAAACAGGAGCTGTCTGTCCTCAGGCACTCTGAACCGTCAGAGCGCACGCCACGGGCTCGGGAAACGACCGCTCCCCCAGGGGAGCGTTCCGCCTCTCTGAAGAGAAGCAGACACGCTCAGAGCCTGGGACCCTCAGCTGTCACTCCTAAGTGGCAGGAGATGGACGAACAGGTGGGGCTTCTGGGAAAGGCAGTGGGAGAGGAAGACAAAGGGATTCAGATGCCGAGTCACTTTTCTACTTCTTCCAGAATAGCCGGCTCCGATTGTGGGTTCACACGTGCCAGGCACTGTGGTGCGGCTGAACGGTCAAACCGTTTTTTGGAAGGGTTAATGCAGGAATAAACGAACCAGGTGTCTCTCTCTCAGCATTACAAGGGCACTTGGATTCGCAAAATTTCTTCTTTCATCTGTCAACTATTCCTGAGTGCCGGGTCTGTGCAAGGCCAGCGAGCCAAGCACCAGAAAGACACAGACGGGGAACCTGCCCTCCGGGAGTGCCCTAGCCACAAGAAGAGGTGAAACGCGTGTAGAGACAACTCCGGGACAAGGAGGGAGAGGACAAACGCAATTCCCCCCTCCTTGGTGTGCTGGCCACACACGAGAAGACTGAAGATGCTCACACGTCCTCCCTGAAATCCACGTAAGTACCCTCCAGGGCTGGCGCGTGGTCCCCTCAGCCCTGCTGTCAAGGACGAGACCAGCGGAGGCAACCCCTAAGAGGCAGTATCTCAGAGTGAGGCACCAGGACAGTGGGAGGAACCAGCAAAAGGAAGAGAAATAGACCCCAAGGTGCTGGTGTCACTCTTGGACACCAGTTACCATCGAGTCGATTCCGATTCATGGCGACCCCACGTGCGTCAGAGTAGAACTGTGCTGCACAGGGTTGTTAATGGCTGATTTTTCAGAAGCAGATCGTCAGGCCTTTCTTCTGAGGTGTCTCTGACAGGACTGGAACTGCCAATCTTTCGGGTAGCAGCTGAGCGCATTAACTGTTGGCACCAGTTAACTAATGAACACTCAGAAATCTCATTCTCTGCCAGAGAAGCACCCTGCCCCAGGGGTTCACTCTGGAGTAGGCCTTAGGGTGTATTTACCCGTTTGGCTGCTACCCCAGTTCTCTGCTGCGGCAGCCTCTGTGGGTAGAATCACAGCGAGTGTGGGAGGCATGCCAGCTCTCCCTTCACTCTCCCCCGACACCTCCAGGACAGACAAGTTCCCTAATAACATTATCACCCTTCAGCTCTCAGCCTCAACCTCTTGTCCACAGGGAAGCCATCCTGGCCAGCCACCAAGGGAGCCTGTCTCCCTGTTCTCTGACCGCTTAGCTCTCTGTGCTCATCCTGCAGAGCACGAATCACAGCTTGTATGTGTGTCTTTATTCTGTGGTTATTTGCTGGCTGCCCACCTCTGCCCCTGTTCACTCATGCAGACTAGCTTCACTGTAGCCAGACGGGAAGGGCTTCCTCACAAATCAAGGAGCCCTGGTGGCACAGTCGTTAAGTGCTCAGCTGCTCTCTGAAAGGTCGGCAGTTCGGACTCACCAGCTCCTCCATGGGAGAAAGCTGTGGCAGCCTGCTTCTGTAAAGATTACAGCCTTGGAAACCCCACGGGCCGTTCTGCTCTGTCCTGTAGGGCTGCTATGAGTTGGAATTGACTCGATGGCCATGGTCATCACAAATCATGGAGCTTAGGATGGTCAGGGGACTTCCTCCTCTTCCCGGGGGTGCGGGAGGTGGGGGGAATCTTTCCAAGGCAAGTTGAAGCTGAAAGGCTGGAATCTGCACTTCTCCCCTCACTCGCCTTGATGGCACCTCCAAACCGCCCCTTAGCTCCTCTGCTGAGGATCTCAAACGAGAGGCTTCCTAATGAACAAATAATGTCCCAAACCAGAAATGGTATTTTATAAATTAATACAGCTTGTTACTGCAAAACTCAGAGCTGTAGGTAGTAAAAAAAAAAAAAAAAAAAAAACAAACAAACCTGTTGACCTTGTTCTTGGACCCAGAAGTTTTAAATCTTTAAGAATCCCTTTGCCTCGGCTCCAGCTCACTTCTTTAATAAGTCATATTGAAAACATGTGTTTTCCCCCTTTTTCATTATGAAAAGAATCCTGAAACATATACATATATATTTTTTTTCACATTCTGACCTCACAATGAAAAACCCAAACAGCTGCTTTATTCGCAAATCACATGGTATGTTTATATCCAAAAGAGCAAATGTGGCATTCATAGATGATCAGTTTTAAAAAGACAAACCCCAATGGACATGGTAACCATCTTTCCTGAAACCATAGTGAAGGCAGCAGGAATCACACGTTGTTGGTTCCATCAACATTCTAGGGCAACACAGAGCATTTCACACCCAGCATCTCAGTTCCCGCTATGTGGCCGAGCCCTGTGCCGGGCCAACTTTCAGAGAAATCAATAAAAATACATGACACCAAGCTTAATCTAAACAACCGTAAATATTTTGTTAATGATGCAGCAACTCCGTTCAGATGTTGCTATAAGATGACACCACTTATTGATTATGACATCAATATAATATCACATCAATATATGTAAGTACCAATATAGTAACACATTATACATTAACCAATGGGGACATTGGTTTAGAAAGTATTTTACTGTGTGGAAAAGTATTTCAGTGACCAAGTCTATTATTTAAACTTTAAAGTTCTCTTTCTCTTCCTTCCTTTCCTCTACATTCTGGCTGACACCACACTCAGGGGGCGTGTTGGAGGAGCAGAAAGAAGGCCAGTCTGGCAGGACTTTGGGGGAGAGCAGAAGTATCACAGTAAGATAGGCAGAGGAAAGCATGCAAAGCCTTTAGACCACAGCCAAGCATTTATACTTACCTAAGGGATCTGCCTGGAGGGGTTTAGGAGGTGAGTGTATGAGGTAATTTATATCTTATGAAGATCATTTTGCCATCTCATGAATTTATGCCTTGTGCCCTTGATTCAACCAGAAACTCCTGGATGGCAGGACTGTTTACCCTTAACATTATCCCCACAGATTGTACTGGGCATGTGGTTTAAACCAGTGGTTCTCAACCTTTTGCTTGCATCAGAATTACCTGGAGGCTTGCTCAAACAACTTGCTGGATCCCACCCCCAGCATTTCTGATGCAGCAGGTCTGGGTGGGACTTGAGAATCTGCCTTTCTAACAAGCTCCCAGATGATGTGAGTGTTGCTGGTCCAGGCACCCCTACCCCGCATACAGAACCAGTGTTTAAATCAATTCGTTGAATAAATCAATCAACGAAGGGACATGAAAATGTTTTTAAAACAGTGGAAGCAATTAGTGGTTTGAGTTTGATCTAAAATGCCAACTATTGATTCTGATTTTTCTTTTTTCTAAAAAAAGTATTCTCTTTACCATACTAGGCAATGACAACAAAAAGACTAACTCAGTACATGCAGAGATACTCTGACATGAAATAGATCATTGTGACTGGATGAGATGAGCCACTTTGGAGACTATATTGTCAAGTTTAGTTATAAATTAAGTATCATTCAAAGGTACTTTCTGTTGGTGGTGGTGTTTTGTTTTGCAGAAGTATGTGATTTATTTGTGTAGTAGTTATTACTTGCCCCAATCCAGAAAGGATATAAGGCGGTGAGGCATCCTTTGGTGCTATTCCAAAACTGAAAATTAAACTAAACTTTCCCTTACAATTCAGGGATAAAGCTTAACACCACCCAGCCCTATTTAGTTCAAAGAACAGGGTGTTGATGAACATACCCGCTTTAAGAAGAGATTGACTTAAACTCTTCTTAGAAGGAACTTGCAAACTTTCCAGTTTATGTGGTTATTATCAAAGCAGAAATGCAACTCAGGAATGCAAAGGAATAGTTTGAAATGAAAACTGGAGACACTCAGAACCAACACAAGGAGAATACACTGCAGACCTAGGGAAGGGCGCAGACAGCTATGCGAAAACGCAAGGCAAAGGCACTGTGGTCTCTACACGTTTACTCTGCCGCACCACATGTAAGGCTATGGTTTCCATGTGCAAAAATCCATCCGTACTGAACTCTATTAGTCAGCCCAATCAACAACGGGCAGTCAAAACCCAGGGAAGCTGGGAGCTTGGTAGCTCAGCAGGTAGCCCTCTTGCCCAAGACTTACAAGGTCATATGTTCAGGTTCTGCTTAGGGAGAAAGCTGGCTAGACACATCCCAGGATCATGTAGGGCCATACTGAAGTACCAAGTATAATATGCATCAAGTAATAATATACACCAAGTATAATAGTGAAATCTCATCTATTCAGTCATTATTCTGGATCTCAGGGTCTAAGAGGCTGATTGGGGGGTGGATGGATTAAAACTGTCAAACCACCAAAATCCAAGAAATCAAAACAAGAAAGGCTGTTGAAAATCATAGGCCTTGAAAAGCAAGTAATAAATGTAAAAATCATCATATAAGAACCAATAAACGACCCCTCCTCTGTGTCTTTAAGACTGTGTGCGGCCACCAGAAGGTCAAGGCAACAACTTACATGATGTGGATGGTGAACCTGGATTCCCATCTATACTGGTGGGAATCATGGAACAGTCTTGGCTGTGAATTAAGTACAAACATAGCACCCCTACACTCTAGCAAAAGATAAAGTACACGTGAGCCCTCAAATCCAAGGTCAATATGCGGAGTCTCTCTGAAACCCAGTCCCCCACGGCATTTGCAATTACCCACCTCCAAAAGGGTAAAAGTAAACATTGGACCTGCTCTGGTGTTAAACTGCCACCGGATCCTCCCTGCTGTCTCCCTCCTCCTCTTCTTTACAGACAGGTAAAGTTGGATCTCTTGAAGGAACTGGGGGCTCCCACTCTAGGCAAAGGTTGGACAGGTGATCAATGTACAGCATGAGATTTGGCTGTGCCTACGTGCCTCCGACAGAGCTGGATCATCTAGGGCAATGAAAATTATAAGCAACAAGAAAGCAGTATTAAGAGCAAGGGTAGGGAGACCCAGGCATCACACACCTCCATTCCCGAGGACACCCAGCACCCATTCCTTTTCTCATTCAGACATTACACACACACTCCTGCAGCACTGTGCCAGGCTTGGGGAATGCAGTGGTGACAAATATAAACACAGGTCCTGCCCTCATGGAACCTATGGGCTGTCTGGGAGAAAGACAATGAGACAAATAAATATAGGGCAGTGGGGTAAGGGAGCCTAGAGGGCACCATGGAGCACACAGCAAAAGCAGCCAACCCAGGCTTGGGGTGGGTGGTCAGGGAAGGCTTCCTGGAAGAAGTGACATTTGCACGGAGCCCAAGGACACATGGGAGTTAGCCAGGCAAGACTCAGGTGGGTCAGCACATGCAACATTCCTGAAGCCCTTTGCTCTCAGCCATCCAACAGCTCACAATCCTACACCGAACCAGGGAGCCTGGATTTGGAGTCTGGAGTCCTCATCACAAGGTGCTCCTCCAATTCCCACAATCCAACTGCATTTCCACCTCTTCCTGTGGGATCTCAGAAAGGAAGTCACTTAGAAAAAAAGAATAATACTGAGTTGAACTGCTATAGAAGACACCCAATTGCAGCAAGCTGTTTTCTGCACACCAGCAGCAGCCCTATTGAAACAGACAAGACGCTGGACCTCAATTTGGCATCATCAACGTGGGAGTCGCTGGGCTTCTTCCTTCTAGCTCTCCCACTTTGCCCTTCCCTTTCCGCAAAGACCCTAGGAAATTGCAGAGGGAGCTCTTTGCTCCTCTTACCCTTGGTGTTTTTCTGTCTAAAAGTCGACCACAGACATGATACCTCCCACGTGCCTTATGCAACTAAGGAAAGCCAGATAACTTATGAAGCCAGTCTCATCAGGGCCCCCAGGTGAGCAAGGGAAGGAAAGAAGAAAAACAAAAAGCCTGTGAGAGGCCCAGTAGCAGGAGTGCTGCCCAGGGTTCAAGATGCCCTGCATTATGAAAGAAGCCATTGTGGGGCATGGTTTAAAACATGGCAATAAGCACATGGCCATTTTACCAAAAACACCGTCGAAAGTAGCTTTGCTTGACTTTTTAATATTCTGAAAGAAGCCAAGTTCTGCAAACATCCCTGACTGAACACAGAAAGAAACAGTCCCTTGCTTCTAAGAAGCAGAGCAGGCAGCTATTTTAGAGACAAAGAAAGGATGCCTTCTTAACCTATGACAACACAAATTTGTTTAGGTTTTCCCTCCACTAAGTAAGTAAGCAATTAGGTTTTTTCCAATAAAAATATCCCTGTGCATGTGCAAACACCAGAGGCAATCATATAATTACCCTGCCCAATCAGATTCAATTGCTGACAGTTGAGTTCCCGCTGCTCATTAACTTCAGATCGCAATGAGGTCTTTACGGAAGCCATTTCCGTCTCTTTACAAAGGTTCCTATGATGCCGGAGCAGGCTGGTACCACCTCATGTGGGATAATTGTCTCCAAATCTCCAGGGCCAAGGCCAGCCTACTTTGACTTCCCTCTGCAAAAATGGGGAAACTGGAAGAGACCCTGGCTTACCTGCCCAGGGATCATTTGGGGGAGCTCATCATTTGGGGATCTCACTTCTAAATATAATAGTAACCTTTCACCCCCACACGTTAAGTGCCGTAATTATGCAATTAAAACCAATTATGTCATTTAACAGAGAGACTTTTCCAAGACACAAGGCAAGCCAATTACCTCAATCATTGACCTCAAAAGATTTCCCATACTGACCTACAACAATGAGGACTGGGATAAATTTAGACACTGGTTTCCAAGGCTGGCATGGACTAGCTGGGTGGGTTGTAGCTGGCAAGATCTTTCTAGACTCTTGAAGCTGAACTGAATCCATTCTCATCTAACACTGTCACCACCTCTTGTTTGCACAACCCTTCCAACAGCCCAAGATACTTGCGTGATTTTTCATAACCATCCTGATAGGATTACTGCTTCCATGTTGCAGTTGAGAAGAAAAAAAAAGAGGCAAGTTAAACAACTTGATATCACGTGGACTCCGACTCATGGTGACTCCATGTGTGTCCAAGCAGAACTTTGCTCCATAGGGTTTTTAATGGCTGATTCTTTGGAAGCAGGTTGCCAGGCCTTTCTTCCCATTTGCCTCTGGGTGAACTCAACCCTCCAACCTTTGGGTTAGCAGCCAAGTGTGTTTACTGTTTGTACCAACCAGGGACTCCATCTCAAGCGTAGCGGCTAGTTAATGGTAAAGCCGGGGCAAAGACTGAGTGAGTCTCTCACTTCAGAATCCAAAGTCTCTTGGTACAAAGTAGGGTATGTGTGTGTGTTCTCCTGAGCATCTATTCCTCTCTTTTGATTGCCTAACCCCAATTTCTCTCTAGGCAACATATCCGCCCCACTTTCAGCCCATGAGCCTCAGGTGGGACTCCAACCCATTTTAAGAGTGTGGAATAACTTAGACCTCAGCCAATCAGCTCCTAACATGCTCCCAGTCACTGCATTGGTTCAGGGATAAGGGCGTGACCCAATCAAAGCCAATGAGACACAATGAGACTTTGCTGAGGATTCGGAAAGAGGCTCTCACTCTTCTCGTCCGGGCTTATCAGTGGGAGGAGTTAAGTTCAGGTGGTTGAGCAGCCATCTTGCTACCACCGAGGGAGTAACAGAGAATGGAGCCGAGAGATGTGGAGAGAGAGAATGGTTCCAGGAAACACCCCCTGAATCCTTCATGTAGGGAGGGAAGAGAAGGGACATTTAGAACCTGCAGTAGTTCAAAAGGACCCTGGAGAAAATATGAAGAGCGCCACTGCCTACAGCTTGGGTTGATTACAAGAACGGAATTAATTGGCCGTGGCTCTGAGCAACAGTTGCGCCTCTTGCTCACAACACAGTTAAACGCCTCCTAGTTTTGAGTTATTTAAAGAACATACCATTTTATGGGCAGGAGGAAGCACTTTAATCTGCAAAATGATTTTTATCACAAACTAAACATCCTTGTAACTTTTTGGTCCTTTGCTTTTGTCAAAGTCGTCTCTCCTTGGAGCTGAGACAGCTGTTGGAGTTGAGGAGACCTGCCTCAGCCTTGCCCTTTGCCCTGCTCAGTGGTACCCTTATGCTCCCCGATTCCTGGATCCATGTGGGATGTATGAAGTCAGGACATGCGAACTCATCATCAAAATGGAGCTCTTTCTTTCTTTTCTTTGTTCCAGGCCTTGAGAACAAGCAGAAAAAAGAGTTCTCTAGTGCAGGGTTTCTCAACTGTGGCCCAAGTGAATTTCTGGGCTAGAGCATTTTTTGTTGTGGGGTCGCCTTGTGCACTGTAGAATGTTTAGCAGCTCCCTGGCGTCTACCCGCTAGATGCAGTACAATCCCTCTCTCCCCAAGTGGAACAACCAAATATGTCTCCGGACTTTGCTAACGTGGGGGGCAGGGGCAAGATCTCTTCCGGTTGAGAGCTACTGCTCTAATGGAACATTTGAGGTGTTGGATTTTCTTCACAGAATCTCTGAAAACATGATTTCCTTGCACTATGGTGCTTTCTACTTAAAATGTGAGGAGTGGGGGAACAACCACTCTCTCCTTAGAACTTTACACAAGTTGTGTAAAATGTCCACTGAGGAGATCTGATAACACAAAAAACAAGACAGCAATACTGCCGTCTATGAGGGCTATGAAGCCACATAAGTCTCACTGACCCATTAAGGACCAGGATGGAAAAAGACCAGAACGAGTGAAAGGATCTAGAGGAGAAAACTAGAAATGAAGAAGAGGTATCTATCAGGTGAGTTCCAAAGTGGATATTTGGCTTCTTACTTCCACTGGGGGAAAAAAAAAAAGGAACCTTAAGACTGTTGTTGGGCTTCCTGGACTCAGGCTCAGCCAGCAACATGGACTGGGGTCAAGAGAAATTACCCCTCCAGCAAAGGCCTAAAACCCACTCTCCAGAGAAAAAGCCAAAAATGGGACATAAAGCCTCACCTATTTGGACAAATGTGGGCAAGGACATTTAAAATAAGCAAAACTGATGGCTTTATAGAGTCTGTGTCAAGGAAAGGCATTGACTGTCTCAAATGTTAGCAGTAACTGACAGTGGGCAAGCAGAAGCGCTGCCTTCAAGATCTATTTTAATGAAATCAGATAGAAATATTCATTGAATTAGCATTTTCCTTGTTAGTTGCAAAGAAGGGCTCTGAATAAGTTTAACCACTCCATGAGCTAATTAGCTATATCTTTACTCAGACTGGAGCTGAGGCCAGCCCCATGAATTCCAGAGTAAAGGAGTTCCAATGAGGCTTGCTTCCAGATACAGATTTCTTTGCACTTCAAAGCACTGACTTCTGAGCCAGTCAGCCAGAAGAGTTAAATTGGTTTGTATGTGAAGACTGGGTTTTGCTGGGGCTTCATTGTGTGAAAATGTTCAGATCTGAGCAGTTTCTCTTGGTAGAAGTTCTAATGTCTCCAGGAACGGAGAGGTGTACAACAGAAGTTCAGATTACCACAACCGGTACACCAATGCTTCCTCCATTCCTGGGGCGGGGGGAGGAGGCGGGGTTACTGTATCCCAACAGTCCCATTCTCTGGGCCTCTCATTCTCCAGTTGCCCTCACTTCCTCCTCCCTGCCACAGTGAAATCTGATTGCTAGGGCGGGACCATGTCTCCAGTAGAGAACGGGCAACAATAGAGAGTCTCTGAGGGTCGTCGGCCCTCCTATTTTTCTTTTAGGCTTGTTGCTGGTTGTTTTGGTCAAGGGGTAATACTTAGAAAGCACAATAATAGAAAAATAGAAGTACTGGTTTGGAGGTTTTAGCAGGGGCCCACAGTGACTCTTACGTGCTATATAAAGAACTGTCCATTCTGGAATTTAGTATTAAATCCAGAGGAGCTACCCCTCAAATCCTGAATTAAAAACGAGTTTCTCAGGGCACTCTTCCTCTGGATAAGCATCCCCCACTCCACCCTTCTCCACTGAAATTATCATCCTGGCCTACATGTTTCTCAGGATACCTGGGTAGGTCAACAGAGATCAAAGAGAAGGGTAGACCACATCCCAATTCTGGCTGGCACTAAAACTACAGAGTGGGTTCTGTGTGTTTTTTGATGGAGGTGTCTCCTAATTGAGTCTACACAATGGCATGTGAACATTTTGTTTGTACCAAATACTTTAGTC